AAGCTTTGCTGAACCCTCTCCAGTTGTTAAAGCTTTGCTGAACCCTCCCTAATTTAATAATATCCTTCCTAAAGCAGAGTGACCAGAACTGTCCATGGTACTCCAAAAGTAGCCTTCTCAATGTCCTCAACGTGATGTCCCAACTCCTATACTCAAAAGTCAGAGCGATAAAGACAAGCCTGTTAAATGCCTTCTTAACCACCCTGTCTACTTGTGATACAAACTTCAAAGAAATATGTACCTGAACCCTTGAGTTTCTCCGTTCGACAATACTACCCAGGGCCCTACCATTAATTGTATAAGTCCTACCCTTGTTTGTTTTACCAAATACCTTGCATTTATTCAAATTAAACTCCATCTGCCAATCCTCAGCCCACTGACCCAATTAATCAAGATCTCTTTGTAATCTTAGAAAACTTTCTTTATTGTCGACTATATCACCAATTTTGGTGTCATCCACAAACTAACTAACCATGTCTCCTAAATTCTTATCCAAATTGTTTGTATAAATGACAGACAAAAGTGGACCCAGCACTGATCCCTGCAGAACACTGCTGGTCATAGCCCTCCACAACCACCCTCTGTCTCCTACCGTCAAGTCAGTTTTGTATCCAATTGACAAGCTCTCCCTGAATCTCATGTGAGCTATCTTTACTAGTTAGTCTACCGTGCAGAATCTTGTCAAAAGCTTTACTAAAGTCCGTGTAGACAATGATTACTGCTCTGCCCTCATTAATCTTTTTGATTTTGCTCTCAAAAAAACTCAATCAAATTTGTGAAACATGATTTCCCATGCACAAAGACATGCTGTCTATTTAGGTTTTCAACAAATCTATATTAAGAAGTCATGATTTGTCAGCCTTTATAAGAGAATTCCCCCTTCGCTATGTCCTCTGGGCCATGTACCTTTTGTGGTTGAGAACGAAAATCAAGAAGGTTATTTCACAGTCCCTATTTATTGACCGTGTTCAACTGATAAATGTGTTAATGTGGCTGAGAATAGCCATAATCACGTTCCAACTTCTGTGGCACCTTGATTTTTTTTTTTGTTTGCTTTGTAGCTGAGTTCAGAAATGTGGCAAAATCTTCGCTGTGCTGTGCGCATCATGTTAAATATGGAGCTACGCAATTGAGCATGGGAAAAAGAAAGCTTTCTTTTTTCTTTGCAGGTTCCAGATTTACTTCCAACTGGTGACATTCAGTCAGTCAGGAGTCAAGAGGCCAACTTGTCATCTAGCAATAAACCAAACCTTGCACTTAACCTTAAGTCACCATCTATTATTGTTACTCCAGGTATGTTGACACTTAGTACTATTGAAAGATGAGGCATTTTGATATTAAGAGCAGCATTGTTATTAAAGCTTAACGGTGGGTCTGTGAAATTTCCATCTTGTGTCTTGAACTGTGAAAAATCTGATGTACAATTCCAGATTTGTCCTTTCAACCCTGAATTGTCTTTTTGAATTATGTATGATAGAATACTCTATTAATGGTCACACTTCATCAGGAGCAGTAATTGTAATGAAATATTGAGACGATGACTTCAAAAGGATTGCACAAGACTATTGCCACGATAATGAAGTGTTGATTTTTGAGGATTTTTAGCTAGTGTGCGCATACGCTAAAAGAAAATGATTCTATTGTATATGATGGTGTCTGTGCCAGAAGTTTTAAAAAAAGACAGTTTTGTGACTAATTTGATAACTATCACTAACCATGTGGTATAGAAATATATGAAGTCCAGCAACATGCCAATGTACCTGTAAAATCAGTGCATATGATGTCATTAAGGTGCATTATCCACTTGCCACAAAGAGCTGTACTAACACAATTGCCTTTCCCTCAGGGCTTAGTAACTTTATCAAAAGAGTAGTTGAACCTCTCAGATCAAGATCCTCAAGGTTAGAGTTCCCATCATTCTCACGATTGGCAAGCACCAACAGGAATTGGAATCACAATTAGGAAAAGAGTGATGCCAAAACTCTGGGAGGGGTGATGGGGAATGTATGGGTGGAAGGGAGAGAGTGCAACACAAACTGCTGGAGGAAGAGGACAGCACACTCTTTAATAAAAAGCTTGCTTCCTGGGCTGTGAGCAGGCTGTCTGTCCTCTTGAACTGTTGCAGTTCTTGTTACGTGTGCCATCTGAGTAGTGGTATTATGAAGTGAGTTCCAGGATTTAGTGACAATGAAGGAACAGTGATACAGTTTTAAGTCAGGTTAGTGTGTGGCATGGATAGAGGGGGGAGAACTTGCAGGAAGTGATGGTCCCATGCAACGGCTGTCATTGTCCTTCTAGGTGGTAGAGGTCACGGGCTTGGAACCTGCTTTTGAAAGAGCTTTGGTGAGTTATGTAGTGCATCCTATGGATGGTACACACTGCTGCTACTGTGTCAATGGTGAATTAAATGAATATTGAACCTGGTGAATGAGGATGGATGGTATCAATTTTTTTTGAGTGTTTATGGAGCTACAGCCATTCAGGCAAATGGGGTGTATTCCATCACATACCTAACCTGTAGATGGTGGACAGGCATTGGAGAGACCGTAGAATTGCTCTAACCTGGTTTTGTCGCTGGAGTATTTATATGGCTCTTCCAGTTCCATTTCTGGCCAATGTTAATCCTCAGGATGTAAATAGTGGGGGCATCAGTGATGGTAGTACCATTGAAGGGACAATGGTCAGATTTTATCTTTTTCAAGATGAACATTGCCTTGCACGTGCGTGTTGTGAATGTTACTTGTGACTACTCCAGGAATAGTGGGGCTTCATCTCCAGAGTGCTACGAGAATGAGGCATAACACTTTAATATTCTAAGACAGCCCAGAGCAGTTCATAAAAGTGATTCTGAAACAAAATCTGGCTCCCAAACACGAGATATTAGAACATGTTAAAGCACCTTTAAAGAAAGGAGGGTCAAGGGATTTATAAGGCATGGGGCTGAGGTAACTGATGTCACACCCATCAATAATTGAGCAAAAAAATGAGGCATGGGCAGCAGATCAGATTTAAAGTAGTTCAATGTTTGGGCCAGGAGGAAATTAACAAGTGTGTGAGTAATGGGTGAAAAGAAATTGGTATGAATTAGAAAATGGCAACAAAGGTTTGGATGAATGCAAGAAGCTAACACAAATTGGGGGAGGAAAGAAAATAAAATGAGAATGAAAGAAGCAGCAACTTCACTGCTGGATCAAAATCCTGGAACTCCCTCCTGAACAGCAATGTGTGGGTTAAGAATGCGATTCCTGAAGATTCTTTCTCTGGTGAGAATGGTTAGACAATAAAACTGGCATTGCCAAAAACATGTGCCAAACAGAAATTTGCAGAAATAAAATCTAGTCATTTTATTTTAACCCCCGAGGTTCCAAAATCTGAACAACATCAAGATTCTTTGTAATCTATTTTATTTTTTTTTCTTTGTTATTGATTCCTTTATGGCTGTTATCCTCTTCATTTGCCTGTCTGACCTTAAGATTGTAATGCGGCACAATTTGCTGTAGTCGCATTCGCTCTCCAAAACTCTTCCAGATTCTCTTGTTACCACTTTGCCTCAACACGTTGGCAGAAGATAACACAAAAATTGACTGGATTCTTGATAGAGAAGAGGATTGTTGTCAAATGCAGGATGAAATAATGGTTTGGTTGAATGGATGAGTGGCAAATAGAAATCAATCACAGTGCTAAGTTATGTATTTGGGGAGGGAAAACGAAGCAAGGAAATGCAAAGAACAGAGGAAGTCAAATATCTAGATCATGGTTTGCACAAGGGAGGCAAACTTTTTAAAAAAAAAAAAAGTTAGTGCATAAATCAGCATTTTGGATGAATAAGTTATTGATTTTTAAAAAAAAAATTCTTGTATGCCTGGATTTCCTCAAGTGTTGACCTAATGAACAGTAAGCAATAGCTGCTGCTGGCCATGGCTGGTATTATATAATTTAGAGCAAATGCAATTAGTAGGAGACCCATTTATTCACAATGAATGAAACATTGTGCAGTATCTTATTTTGGATGTAGATGGCAAGGAAAAATACAAATTTAGTCTTTGTACTGCTCTGTTGCTCAATTGTGCTTTTGACCTTTAAAAGATTCTATTTTAGCTGCATTAGCAATTGTTGGCAGTGGCATCTGCATTCCACTTGCAGCTTGCTTATTCTGTTGAAGTTGGTTATACTATAAATCATTTTGTAGAACAAGCGAACATTGACAGTTGGAACTCCATGTGTTGAACCGAGAAATATTAGTGCCAACTTCTGAGGAGCAGGACTATCTCATAATAGTTCAAGTCTGCATTCTCATTAGCTGCAAAACCTCAATGTGGTATTACTGGATAATGAATAGTTGCACCAGAATGAAGAGACTGTTGCAGAGAAGTTTGTTTTCCAGTATTCCAGCCAGAATTCATTTAAGTCAAATTTTAGAAGCAAGCTTTAGATTTATTTCAACATCTTACTTGTCATGGTTATCAGAACTTCCACTTAAAAATCAATATACCAAACCCCTGTATGCTTTTGAACACATCAGAGCTATTTCTTGGGCAATTTTTCCTCTACCCCCTACTTTCCTCCAGTCACCCAGCACATTTGACAAGCTATCCCCTTTTTAAATGGAGATGAACATTCAGCTCATTCTTTCTCCTCTAGTGACTAATCGGAACTCTGTTATAGTGCTAAGTTGAAAATGAAGATTACATATATATAAATGTATTGTTGAAGCATAAAATGACTAAATGTGAAGAGCCTCCGTTATTTTTGTGCATGTTGAACATCCATGATGTCTATATTTAATCACTGGATCTCTCCTCAATCTTCCCAGTGGGAGTTTGCAATTTAGAATTTGTTGTATGCTGAGATGTGAGAGTAATCCTGGAGATGCATGGTTCAGACTATGAATTCAGTATCTAAATTCATATTTCAAAGCATGAATCAAGTTCAAGATACAGTATGGGTCATTATAAGTCGGGTCAGCGTGCAAAAGGAAATCTAGCGCTAGATTTTGAATACTTCAGAAATCATTGTAATATTTTTCAGTTTTCATAGATTCTTTGATAATGTACCATATCCTATTTGGCATATTGGTGCCGGCTTGATCTTTACGATTTCCCCTGAGAGGCTTATTCAGGCCCTTGTGTATTCCACCTTTGCAACATTTTACTTCAAGTTGTGATATGAGCTGATATGGAGCACAGATATTTTGGATTTCTGCTATGGGTAGCTCAAGTGCATCATGATTTTAAAATTTTGATAAAATAAATTAGTAAAATTCTTTAATCTGGAATTTTTTTTTTGTCCTAATTTCAATTTTGAGTTTTTCTCAATGAATATAGTTCTGAAATTGAGGTGCACTCTTTATTTCTTTAAAAAAGAACTGCTCAAGAGCAAAATCGGGCCAGTGATCCAATTGCACACCTTTTGTAATTTTTCATTTTTTGTTCTTTAAACTTTAGACTGCATCTTGGAGAAGGAGGAAGGAAATGGGGGATTTTTGACAAAGAGGGTAATGGTATGAGTTAAGGCATCTTCACTTAAGGCAACTTGAAGAACAACAGTTGAGTTTTGAAGTCGACTGATTATCTTGATACCTTGTTGGCAGGTTTGGTAAGATTGTGCTGACACCTATGGGATAGGTGACATAAATTAGACACTAATAAGCTAAAAGGAGACAAGTGAGATGGATATATTATTTTCCTGTTCTCATTAATTTAATTTTTAGAAAATCAAAGTTTGTTTCCCAATGAGACTTCTAATTTTCAATCAGAAAAGAAGAGAGGTTAGGACGAAAATTGGTTATGGACTCTTATGACCTATCTTAGGCTAAGCAAGGGGGAATATTGAATCTGGGGGTTGAGGGGCAGTTGATTCATGAAGAGAATGGAGTATTCCTGCTCAATTGTGTTGTGACCTCAGTTTTGTCTCAGCTGATCGTGGACAAGTCAAATCCCTGAAATCTGGCTTGATAATCATAAGCTTTACTTTTTGCAGTTCAGTTGTTATGGTAGTCAGTCAGATGACTCCTAATGTTCTTTTAACAGAAGGAGAAAACTTTGACATACAAGAAAAGAAAAGTGAGAGACTGAAGACAGCATAAAATCTTAACATAAACAGCGAGAAGAAGTTATTCGTGCCTTTTTCAAGCAATGTACTTTACAGGCATTTTACTCAACCCCACTGAAGTGTCACTACATTCTAACTCTTAAGTTTCTCCCTTAACTGAATGTCCTTTCAGCAACTTTCTGCACTCTGACTAGATGTGAATCACACTTTTACTGTCTCTCCCAAGATACAGACACTGGCTA